TGCTGTCCTCAGCAGTAAACACAACCACGTGTGCAGGCGGTGAGCAGAGCACCCAGCACACAGTCAGACCTCAGCCAGTGTAAGTGAGCTCTGGCTAGAAACTCACTGCTGGATGGTGGAGTTGAAACAAGGCCACTTGGGGAAGGATTTGTTGTTTCCTTTAGTCATAAGTAATTACGGCTGATTAAAACTTCCACTCTTAGCCATTTTAACCCGCGCCATGTTTTTCTTTGATCTTCACGTTACATATCAGTAAAAGGCAAAAAGAAGTTGTGGGTGCAAAAGTCTGAAACTAGAGCAGACTGAGTACTGGGAACTCTTTCCTTCCAAAAAGGTGAATGTGAAAATTAGGAGTATTGCCTGGCCTTTTATCTGCCGTGATGGGCCTTTTCCAGAGTTTATTAAAACCTGGGAGCAGTTCCCAGCTTGTCTGTGTGATGTGATCGCCTGTGTGGCTCAGGCAGCCCCCTTAGGTTCCTAGAGCAAGAATTACTCTCTCAAACACTCACAAGGCTCTAAACACTTTGTCAAACTACTCAGAAATATTTTTATCACTTTACACTACCTCAGTGGGGTATGAAAGTGTCTTAAATTATCCTCTTTTGGAAGAATACCAATGCTTTAAAAAGTATTAGTGACAATATTAGTTACACTATTAATACAATAACTAATTAATAATATAAGAATTAATGCAACAATAATACAATACTAGTTACAATAGTACTCAGTACTATTATGAAACCAATTTACGCTCACTCACACTTTCATCTGAAGACTAGATCACAACTATGGCTCAGGAGGGAGGAGAAGGGACAGCAGGTAAGGGGGGAGGTAAGATGGAGGGACAGTGAATGGTGGGATCACACCTATGGTGCATATTGCAAGGGTACATGTCAGATCTATTAAGTATAGAGTATAAATGTCTTAACACAATAATTAAGTAAATGAGATGAAGTATATATTAACCAGTGTGCTGTAAATGCTCCTAATTCTATATGAAATTAGCACATTGCACCCTATAAATGCGTCAATGTATACACGATCAATGTGTTTATGGTTTAATAAAAAAAGGAAAAAATAGTATTAGTTAACATGGTAAGTAAAAAATTCAGACTTGTAAGTAAGTAAGTAAATTGAAATGTCTCTTATTACTAGTGCAGTTAAGTATTTTCTCCTGCGTGGTTATTAATTTCTATCTGTTCATGTGCCCCATGCTGTTTGGTTGAGGGTGTTTTTTGACAACGCAGATTTTTTTTAAAGAAATCTCTTCCACTAAGGAAAAATCCAGAGCAGAGTTTTTCTTTCTTTCTTTTTTTTTTTTTAATTGTTGGGGATTCATTGAGGGTACAAGAAACCAGGTTACACTGATTACATTTGTTAGGTATAGTCCCTCTTACAATTGTGTCTTGCCCCCAAAAGGTGTCACAGACCAAGACCCCACCCTCCTCCCTCCTTTCCTCTCTCTGCTCTTCCTTTCCCCCATCCTTCCCTCCTTCTTTCTAGAGCAGAGTTCCTTAAGCTGGAGGTAGGATGTAATTGAGGGAATCTCTGAACCTCCTCAGCCACCTGCAAAGTGTGGCCTTGTTTCCTGTGGAAACTACTGGTGTGTTTCATCAGACTCTCAGGATCTTGGAAAAAGATTAAAAATTCAGTTGCATGGAGGGTGTTGATGGTTGGTTACTTTCCTACAGATCACCACTGGTCTGAGGGAAGATTGCCTTAAGAACACGACTCAAAGGTAGTCTTTGTTTTGGAGACAGGGTCATGCTCTGTGACCTCGACCAGAGTGCATTAGTGTCAGCATAGCTCGCTGTAGCCTCAAACTCTGGAGCTCGAGCAGTCCTCCTGCCTCAGCCTCCAGAGTAGCTGAGACTAGAGGCACACACTAAAATGCCCAGCTGATTGTCATTTTGGTAGTGACAGAATCTTTCTATGATGCCTAGGCTGGTATGAAAAACTTGGTCTCAAGTCCTCAGCCTCCCAAAGTGCTGGGATTACAGGTGCAAGCCACCATGACTGGCCCAAAGTAGTCTCGATGCAATTCTTTGAAATGGCAGTTGCTGACCTAATTTTTCCAGCCATAACCTGTTTGTTCTTCTCGGTTTCCCCATCTGGCTAATGGGAATAGTTATATCAACAGCTTTAACAAAAGCTGTTGTGTTGTACATGTGTGTACAATGAGATTGTACATGTGTGCCCGTGTAGATGACCCTAGCGGACAGTGGCAGGTGATAGGAGTAATGGCCTGTCCACCCACTCACTGACAATCTGCTATTGCCGTCCCCTCCCACAGGGCCTTTGCAGGTGCCACCGTGCACGACTTCTTCAACTGGCTCTCCGTGTTTGTGCTCTTGCCCCTGGAGGCTGCCACCCATTACCTGGAGCTCCTGACCAACCTGGTGGTGGAGACCTTTCACTTTAAGAGTGGAGAAGATGCCCCAGCACTTCTGAAAGTCATCACAGATCCCTTCACGAAGCTCATTATCCAGGTAACCCAGGCCCTTCACAGAGGGAAAGGCACTAACCACCCACCCACTCCATGTCCCACCCTTGGCCCTGGCAGAGACAGACAGGGTCTATAGACACTGCTCTGTGGCCAGGGAGGCCGACCTTCAGGAACACTTGACAGACAACTGGCCTTGAATGCTTTCCCTGACTCCAGTGACGTGTCTCCTTATTGGGATGGGGTGCTTCTTATGACTGGACACTTGGGACCACGTTGTTCCCCCTACTGACCTCAAGACCAGTGGCTACTCAAGATGAAGTGTTACCCTACTCCTGCTAAGGGAGGGTACTGGCCTTTCCTGCCAGGGGCCATCTCACTAATCTGCTCCCAGGGGCCCGTCCCATGGTTGAAATGACAGGATTTGAGGATGTGGCCTTGGGGAGCTGGGGCCAGCTGGGGCCAGCTGGGTCCTTGTGCTTTCACTCTCACCTTCTGGTTTCCCTGTCATCCATCCATCCATTCATTCAGCAAGTATCTTCTGCCTGTTTCCTAGACAACAGTGTCTGTGCTCACACAATCATCTACCCATTCATTCATTCATCATGGACCTGCTAACATCCAGGACCGTGCTCCACCCTGGGAGGGCAGATGGAGCAGCTCCCATTTCACCTTTGTGGGGACACTTCTCGCTGCAACCCCTACATTTCTGTCCCAAATGAGTTCTGAGGTCACTGCTGACAGTTGTCTGTTGCTTTCCACAGCTGGATAAAAAAGTTATCAACCAAATTGCAATGAATGATGAAGCCGCGAAAAACAAGAGTCTGATCAAGATATGGTGCAAAACTTTTACCAACGTGGTGAGTGTCAAAGAATATCTCTCTGCAGGGAAACCCTGGGGTGTGAACTTTAAGCAAAATCTTGCATTCAAGGTGCCTGAGAAATCAAAACTCATTTAGCAAGCGAGTCCTTGATTGCTGGCTATGCTTAAAGAGCGGGACAGATGGGGGCGGCACCTATGGCTCAAAGGAGTATGGGGCTCCGGCCCCATATACCAGAGGTGGCAGGTTCATACCCGGCCCCAGCCAAAAAAAATAAAAAGGAAAAGTAGGGCAGATAGATCTCCTTAACCCTGTTCCACCCTGTGGATACCTTATTCCTGCCTTACCCTTATTTCCACTTCCATTTCATGGCTGCCTCTCTGTTCCCATTTTTGGAGGGACCCAAGGAAATAGCTCATCACAGGCTACAAGTGCTGGGAGCAGGTGGCATCTCTCACTTCCCAGACTCTTCCAGTGTCTTGTCCCTGAGAAGGCCCATGGCGTTCCTGCCTTCCTCCATCAGGGAACCAGGCTAGCGTCCTCAGCACCAGGGCAGGAGTCTGCCCTTCCTTCTAGGGTGCATATGTATTTGGGTTGTGTGGAGTGCTAAAGGCTAAAACACTAAATGTAAGACTAGGTGTATTTGAAAGATGAAGGCTGATTTTCTTTGTCCCCAGTTGTTTTAGGAGCTTTTTAATAAAGTTGAGTAACAAGTCCCCCCTCAAAAAAAAAGTTATGATAGAGGCACTGAGCATACCGATGTGTATGGTGTCCCCTGCCACCTGTTGCCAACCAACCCAGTACAGTGGGCATGTGTCATTTTGTCATGTTTGTCTTCCAGACTCAGATGAATGTCACCATCCCCTCCCCTGAAAATTGCACCTCCCCTTCTCTCTGTTGGACGAACAATACCCACACTTGGACCATCAAGAACGTGACCTACCAGGAGAACATTGACAAATGTGAGTGGTCTCATCCACTTGGCCACTGGGGCAGGTGACAGGGGAGGTGGGTGGTATTTCTCTTCTAGGACAGTGAGAGTCCCTGATCACCTGCCCTCCATCAGGCAATGAGCAACAAGCTTTCATAGAAGTGGAAACTGAACCTCAGGGACACAGGGGACAGGTCCAAGGTCTTGTAGGAAGGAGCAGAATCAGGTTTTGAAGCCCAGTTCCTCTGACAACTCCATACCACCTCAGATTACAGAGTATTCCTTCTGCGTTTCTGGGTATCCCTTTGTCAAAAACTCTGGGGAGAGGATAGCCACATTCAGAGGAAGGTGTGTGACTCATGCAGAACACACACATCCCATCAGTGAGACCCTACAGTACAGAAGCTCCATTCAGGACACTGGGGCTGCAACATGGAACAAGGCATTGGGTGTATTTGATGCTCTTATTCTTTTAAAAGCTGTAATTTTGCCCCTGGACTCTTTTCCAACCTTGAGTTCCTGAGTTCTTCTAATTACCCCTTCTATGCCTTTTTGTATATTTCTGTCTCCCCATCTTTGTTACATTAATTCTGAGCAGTCTATCTTGATATTTCAGGTATTCTTTACTCAAGGAATCAAGAGAACTTATCACCTCCTCTGTTCTAGGTGTAATACATTCATTGATACAACCATGGTGTACTGAAATTATCACTAAGACTTTGAAAAATAAGAGGCTTTAAAATTAGCAATACCCCTTACTCTAATTTGCCCATTCTATCCTTTAACACCTTGAAAATGTTACAAGGAAAAAATACCATGGGGTTTAGAGGGAGACATACTGAGCTAGAGGTCTAGGTCTGCCTCTGACTAGATGTGTGATATTGAGAACATTACTTTGTTATCCAGCCTCATAAGCTCCCACTGGCCAGAACATAGTCTCAGGGACTACATTTAGTTACAAAGGACACTGGGAAGGCTCATCTTTATTTAGGCTACAGTATGTCCAGTCAGTGACCAGGATTCTATTAGTGGGAGAGAGAGACGGATGTTGGGGAGCTGTGGTTCCACAGCCTCCTGACAGGGTTCTCCACAATCTCTTCAGGCCGGCATATCTTTGTGAATTTCAACCTCCCGGATCTTGCTGTGGGCATCATTCTGCTCATAATCTCCTTGCTGGTCCTCTGCGGCTGCCTGATCATGATTGTCAAGCTCCTGGGCTCTGTGCTTAAGGGACAGGTCGCTGTTGTCATTAAGAAGACTCTTAACACTGGTAGGTACACTGCCCCCAATTCTGAGCCCTGAAGGACGGTGTCAACAGGGCCACTGGGGGTAGAGGGTTCTTTAGATTCTCATCTCCCAGGGGCCTCTGTGTGGAGTTTCTCTGCCAGATCTGCTCAGCTGCAGAAGGTCAGGTGTCATTCCCAGCTGACATCTTTCATAGAGTCCTGGGTGGGATCTGGGGAGCAGGTTCAGGCTGCTGCTGCATGTTGACAAGGTCCTGAGAAGCAGTGAGCTCAAGATCCAGAGGGCCGGGGTCACACCTTCCATCCTGGCAGGTTGTTTACGTGTCCAGGACTTTTCTGGGTCTGTCGGGACCTCTTAGGGGTCCCAGCTGGCGGGTCCCAGCTACCTCATTCTCTTAACTCTCCTTATGGTGGAAACAAAGGGGGAAGGTGTGCAGGGCAGGGGAGGCAGTGTGAGGCTAAGAGCTCCTAGTGCATCCTGGGGAGAGGGTTCCTGCAATGAATCTGTGCTTTTGTCTTTGGAACAATCACCCACATCTTAGTCTCACCATCTGAATATAGGCTGAAAGACTGACTCTATTCATCCAGTTTGCGTGTATGGCGGGGAGGGCTGTCTATAGAACCTCAAGCTCTAGCCCGGCCCCTGTCCCCGGGTCTTCTGGAGAA